CCTTCATCAGCAAAGTCAAGGTCGGTAACCTTGATATTTGCCCAGAGTTGCTCCACAATGACTTCGATTATAGTCATTTTAATAATCATTATCTTAATTATTAATGTTCATTTTCATCATTATCATTATTAATAATGATATGACAATATGATAATTCTGGAAATAATAACAACAATAAATTAATGATTATAATAACAATTAATAGCCGTTTTTAAAAAATTATTTCTATTATTTATTTTCTGTTTATCCATTGTCGATATTATTAATTGGAAATCATTAGAATAGTGGGCAATTATTAGGCAAATCATCATTAATAATATCATTGTAATAATGTATTTAATCATATTTATTGTCCTAATTACCTCATAATTATCATTATTATCGTCAATTATTGTCATTATTGGATGGGGTTTAAATCATCAAAATCATCATAATTAGCAGACTATTGCTAAAGATCATCAAGTAATCATTCCTTTTAACTCCGAAAAAGAGGGGTTTCGACTTCAATCTCTGGCAAGGCTGTAATTTCGCTAGATTTCGCCGTTTTTTTTCTAACTTTTGGGGATATGTCTACTTTTAGCCTTTTCTTTATTATATATGGTTTTATAATGAAAATTATCATCGATCTATTGTCATTATCCATCAATCATTATTAATCATTTTCTGTCATTGATCGGCCCTAATCACCCTTAATATAGTCATTATTTAATAAATCAATCAATCTTAATTATTAATGCCATTTCCATATTATAATTATTTTAATAATGATAATGACAATAATGATAATTCTGGAAATAATAACAACAAAATAATAATTATTATAATAAAATAAATGGCCGTGTTAATAAATTACTTCTATTATTATTTCGTGTTATCAATTGTCCGTTTTTATTATTAGGAAATCATAGAATAGTGCCTGATATTGCGTAATTAATTTGCAAGTTATTAGGCAAATCATCATTATATTTATCATTGTATAATTATTGATCGATAAATCATGTGCTATTTACTCTCATAATTATCATTATACGTTGTTATTGTCATTATTGATTCGGTTATCATCAAAAAGTTTTCATAATTAGCTGAATTATTGCTAAGAATCAATCAAATAATCATCATTAAACTCGAAAAAAGGGGGGTTTTTTCGACTTCAATCTCTCTAAGCTGTATTTGCTAGAATTTCGCCAGTTTTTCGACTTTTGGGATTTTTTCTAACATTTTAGCCTTTTTCTCTCCATTATAGATGGGCTTTTATAATGATCAATTATCATCCATTATTGTCAATATCAATCATGATGATAATGACAATAAATAATGATAATTATGAATAAATGATAAATTATAATGATAGTTTTGATAATTACTGCAATAATATCAATAATTAAGACTATTCTAATAATTTTCATAATAATAATGACAATAGAAATAATGATATTATTATCATAGTCATTATAATTATCATTACTGGGTCCATTATTATTTCTAAAATTATCATGACGAATAATGACATAATGATAATAATCAATAAAAAAATAATGACAATGATGAATGATAATGAAATATAGGGGCAAAAGTAAAAAATCCCAAAAGTCGAAAAACGGCAAAATCTAGCGTATTCTTTTGAAAGAAACGTCAAAAATAAAAACCTTTTTTCGCTTTTAAATTAATTATTATTATTATTTAACATTAATTCAGGTAATTATGATGATTTTTCATGATAATTCCTTTACTATTAACCATAATGATATAATTTGATGATAATGACAATAATAATGATAATAATGAATACAATGATAATTATATGATAGTTTTGATATTACTGCAATAATAGCAATAATCAAGTCTATTCTCTCATTTTCAATACTAAAATGATATAATAGAAATAATAATAATATCATTTTCATTGTCATTATAATACATTATTACTGTCATTATTCTAGAATTATCATTCTTGCTATTATTATTATAAAATAGTTATAATGATAAAAATGACAATAATAATTAGCATAATAATTATTATAAATGAAATATGATAATATTAATGATAATTATGACGATATGACTATAATGATAATAATCATAAGAATAATGACAATAATGGTGATAATAATAATCATAGAGTCCATTTAAAATGAAATAAAGGCGAAAAGTAGTAAAATCCCAAAAGTCGAAAAAACGGCAAGATCTATCATCTTGAGAGAAAAGTCGAAAAAAAACTTTTCGCTTTTAAATGATAATTAGGATGATTTAACATTAATTCAGGTAATTATAATGATTTTTCATTATAATTACTTTATTATTAACCATAATGATGATAATCATAATGATAATGACAATAATAACGATAATAATGATAAATGAATAATTATAATGATAGTTTTGACAATTACTGCAATAATAGCAATAATTAAGTCTATTCTCATCATTTTCATACTAATAATGACAATAGAAATAATAAATATCATTATCATTGTCATTATAATTATCATTACAGTCATTATTATTTCTAAAATTATTATTATTGTTATTATCATTATAAAATAGTTGTAATGATGAAAATGACAATAATAATTAACATAATTATTATAACTGCAATAAGGATAAAATAATAATGATAATAATGACGATAATGACTATATGA